CAACAAAAGAACAACTGAATTGCTTAGGAACTATTTACCCTAGTCTCTTGGATCTTTATATTTGTACTCAAGTACTTCACGTTCATGAGCAAAGTTGAAATTCTAATTCTGTATCTTTTTTTTTTTTTTTGAAAGCAATGTGACAAAAAAAATAAAGAAATTATTATTATTCTTATGTATCAAGGTTTCCATAAATTTGTTGCACAAATCTTTGAATAGCCACAAACACGTGTTGGATCCAATCAATTAAACATAATATAATTTTCCATTAAGATCTACATGAATTTTCTGAGTATCTTTTATTGACCATGCAATATGCATCAGATATATTGCATTGTTGGATCATATTTGCTATTTGCCTTGGCAAACTTTGACCTAATACTTTTACGTGCACCCCCCTAATTACTGACGCATTCAAATGTTTAAGGTATCATCTTTGTCATCAGCCCTGCACCAATTGCACAAGTCTTCAGTTTTGATCAGAGCTTTCAAAACTGAAAATATTAACGATTTTGGATCAGAAAACACTAGAACAGCGGAAACTTAAAACAATGCAATGAATCAATAAAATTTATATCGATTTTTCAGTTCAGTTAGTTTGTGTTTCTTAGAGCTCCACATCATAAGGTCCTTACTGCTTCTTCTGAATTATGCACATTTTTTTCTACTTTGGCTATCAAAATGAATACATACATGAATATAGATAAACATATGCAAATTTAGAGATGAATGAGAGAAGAAGAAGCCAGAGAAAACATAATTTTGGGGGGCTAGGGTATATTGCAATAATAACAAAAAGAGGGAAATAATAAAAGGCTAAACAACCAGTAAATAATAATAATATTTCTAATATCCCCCCTCAAAATCAAGGTGTGTTAACATGAAGCATTGAGAGTTTGCGAAGTAAAAAACAAAAACGTAAAGCAGTGTGTGCTTTGATAAATAAATCTGCAATTGCATAGTAGAAGAGATATAGGGCAATGTGATGGTGCTATGCTACTCTAGAAGTGTTGACGAGTGAAATGACAATCAATCTCGATGTGCTTTGTGCGCTCATGAAAAATTGAATTGCGAGTGATCTAAATAGCACTTGTATTGTCACGGTACATGAGAATTGGGTCAGAAATCTAGACTCTCATATTAACTAGGAACCATCACAACTATATAATCTCAGCAGTAGTAGATGCTATAGCCTGATATTTTGTTTCTGTTGATGACAGAGAGATAATATTATGCTTCTTGCTCTTCCAAGAGATGAGCGAGTTACCCATAAATATGCCGAAACTAGTGATAGTTTTGCTGTTAGAGGAATCACCTGCCTAATATGCATTTGTGTAAGCTCAAAACTCTAAAGTCAAAGTAGATGAGAAGAGAAGACTGAAATTTAGTGCCCCGAAGATATCAAAGGATACGAAGTACAACTGCTCAATGAATTGTAGTAGAAGAAGCGACAAACTGACAAACTGACTAACGGTATGGATGACATAAGCAATATCAGGTTTATTAATAGTGAAATACACCAACATGGCAACCAAAGTATGATACAGAATAGGTTCTGATAAAGGGACAACATCAAAAGAAGAATATCTAAAGTTAAGTTCAAGAGGGGTATCAACTATGTGATTGTAAGACATGCGAGTTTACTCAAGAAGATTAATTATACAGTTTGACTGAGACAGGAGGCAACCACGAGGACACTAATCCACTTCTATCTCTAAAAAGTTGCGAAGATTACCTAAAATTTTCATCTAAAACTCATGAGCTAAGTGCAATTTCAAAACAACCATCCCATCAACATCTTCCTTAGTAATAATCATATTATCAATGTACAAGGAATAAGTATGCGATTTGAAGTGGTGCACCTGACAAATAAAGCAGAGTCATGTGAACTGTGATAAAACCCAAGACAAGTAATGACGATGGAGAACTTTTCAAACCATTCTCGAGGAGTTTGATTAAGCCCATAAAGAGCTTTCTTTACTTTGTAAACTTCATTAAAATTATGAGGAACATTAGGTGGGAAACCATGCACACTTCTTCTTAAGGATCATTATTTAATAATGCATTTTTGACATCCATCTAAAAAATGGATCATTGACGGACATACGCTACTATGATGAGAGTTCAAATGGTGATAAGTTCTACAACTGTAGAAAAAAGGTTTCTCATAATCCATATCATACCGTTGTGAGAACCCTTTAGCAATCAAGCGAGCTTTGTATCGCTCAATAGACCCGTCAGACTTGATTTTGATTTTAAAAACCCAACGTGAACCAATGACAACTTTCGTACAAGGAAGAGGAACAATATCCCAGGTATCTTTCTTATGCAAAGTAAATAATTCCTTTGTCATTATATGTTGTTAAAGTGAATTAAGAAGAAGAGGGCTCTGAGAGCTGGTGAATAGAGGTTAGAAAGGAGGAAAAAGAGATTAAATTTGTAGAGTAAACAAAATTAGGGAATTGAGTGGACTTACGAAGAAGTTGAGGATAGCGAGGAGGAGGATCCGCAATCATAGTAGCATCTTGGGTGGTAGCAGTGGCAAGAGAGGAATCAGTGAGAGCAGTATCAGAGGCTATTGAGCTAGACATATCATTCTTGCATGAATCAACAAGAGAGAGAGGAGTGTTATGATATGGAGTAACATCTGTGTCAGTGGAGAAGGGATCAATCCGAGTAAGGTCGGGCTTTTTAAGATGTGCCCAGCTGAATATGGTAGAAGGGCATATGCTCAAGAAACACATTGCGGGCAACGTAGAGCCTTTGAGAAATAGGATCATAACAATGATATCCCTTTTGACTTTCACTATAACCAAGAAATATACAAAATGATGAACTTGAGAGGTGAGTTTGCTACGTTCAACATGAGAATGAAGAACAAACCATGTGAAAGCAAACACTCAAAGTAGAATAATCAGGAACATGACCTACAATTTTTAGAATGGTGACACACCTGAAGTAACGGAAGATAATATGCAGTTCACACGAACAACAAGAATGACTTCCCCCTAAAATTCACTTGGAACAAATGTGGATAATAAGAGAGAACAAGCAGTTTCAACAATGTGTCTATGTTTTCTTTCCAGCAACATCATTATGCTATGGAGAGTTGGTACAAGAGATGTGATGGAAAGTTTGTTGAGATGGTTGCATTCAATTCAATGACTTTGAATATTTCCAATGACCCTTTTGCTTATAAAAATTGCACTTGTCAAAACTAACATTTGCCTTATTCTGATTGTTGAAAGGAGGTTTAGGAGGAACTGCAAATATAGATGGAGTAGGAGCTGAAATAATTCCCTTTCCATCACTTCCTTTATCTGCTTGAGACTTGAAACAAATTTCTTCAGCCAACAACTTATTAACCGCCGACTCAACAGAAGGAAGCGAGTTGTGATGCATAATTGTGCTACAAAGGCCTTCAAAATCATCTCGAAAGGCCATCAGAAATTGAATCAAATATTGTTCTTCTCGACGGGTATTATAAGGTGCAAATGCATGTAATGCTTCATATTTAGTAAGAGCAAGCTGATCCCAATAACTATCCATGGAGGAATAAAATTCTTGAATACTCATGTTATTTTGTTGAAGGGCTCGAATATCTATCTCCAATTTATATTGTTTTACAAAATTAGATTGTGTATATAATATTTCCAAATGATCCCAAAGTGCTTTACCTGTTTCATACTTTGCTAGTTGGACGCCTATAGATTGTAAGATAGTTGCTGACCCATGTTATAATGTTCAAATTAAAGGCATCCCAAAATTCCAATTGTTATTCAAAATTTCCATCCTTTTGATTTATCGGCTTAGCAAAAGTTCCAGAGACAACCCTGCATTCTCTTACCCATAACATCAATATGAATAATTATGCCCATTTAATTGCATGCTAATATATTAAAGATAATCATCTTTTTTCACTGGCCATTGTAACAAACAACAAATACTCAAATAGCACCAACAAACAAAATAGGGCCTAAGAGAAACAAATGCAAATACCGATTTAATGAAGTAGAATACTGCAAATTGAAGGCTATTAAACCCAGCAGTGCAAAATTGATCCCCTGCCAACTCACCTCAGAGTTGGATCCGCGAAAGCTATGGAAAAAAACTTATACTCTCTGATACCATGATAAATATATACAAATTTAAAGATGAATGAGGGAAGAAGAAGAAGTCAGTGAGAAATCGAATTTTGTGGGCTAGGGTTTCATATTGCAACAATAACAAGAATAACTTACATGAGAATTACATAAGCAAAAAGAAGGAAATCAGGAAAGACTAAATTACTCCTAAATAATAATAATACTTCTAATAAATATATTTGCCATGTAAATCCAACCTTTGCTTGACATACACTCCCCGCCCACTTCATTTTCAATCAATGCATCAAATATCATGCTTAAGGCTTACGGAATATGTTTCTAAATAAGTTCCTTTCAGATTAGCTTTGCTTCCACTAATTCTGAAATCTAACAGAAACAGAGATGGGATAAAGAGTTTAAGAGGTTAGCTAGCGCTCAATGAGCTTCAAATCAAAGTCAAGCTGTTTCTGGAACAATAATAGCGTTCTTCTGATAAGACTAATATATAATCATTGATACTGGCTTGCCATAACACAAGTAATGCAACATTGGAAATGCAATCAAGTTTCCTATAGTGGATTATAATTTTTATACTCCGATGTAGACAAGATTAGAGAGATTCGACTTAGATGGTTTGGTCACATTAAATATCGGCCATCTGATGACCCGATGGGAGAGTAAATATTTTAAATTTGACTCGTGTTAAGAAAGTTAGAGATAATTAATTTTAAAAAAAGCTTAGGCATGTTGTATAGAAAATTATATTAATTTTTTAGAATTAAATGAAATTATGACACTCAATAGGACACAATAGAGAAAAAAGATTCATGTGGCCGACCCCACTTAGTGGGATAAAGGCTTGTTGGTGTTTGTGCTTTGCTGTAATTGATTTATATATTTTTTTTCATTTTGCAGATTTGGATTTCACCAACCTCCATTCAACAGTGTCAATCATCTCCATCTTCATTGCTTTGCATTACCTTTCATTCCAAGGTAATGGTTGCCATTGTCTCTCCTCTTACCTCATGTTTTTCGAACTGGCTCAAGTTAGTTTAACTGCTAATAGTCGAGCAGATGGAAATATTTGAAATACATGTCCATGGGGCCTCTTGGTGGTTTTCTTGAAGCTGAGAAGCTGCTGGAGAGGATTAGACCGTTGTAATTGTCACATTTATAATTCATGTATAATTATGTACTTGTTAAAGCTTTGTTTCGCAGGTAATTTGTTTGAATTTTGCTTATTTTGAAATTACATGTATTTGATTTGAGCTCATATTTGAAATATTTGTAAATAATATGTTCGCATCGCGATCAATTTATATTTTTCTTAATCATGTCTTCTTTAATTAAGAGGAAGAAAAACATATTTAAATCTTTCAATATATATCATATCATTTTATCCGAGTATTTTTCTATTGTTACATAAAAACTCAAATGTCTTCGTGTAAAATTATGATGCACAGTAAATCCAAAACGGAATATATATATATATGACATGCCATCAAGAAATTTTTATCACCATACACGAATCTTGAAGCATTTTGAGGAAGAAGCTCTAAATTCAAATTCAAGATCATTTGTCATAATTTTAATAAATTTGAAGTCAAACAAAGCATCTCGACAAGACAAACCCAATGACACTGAAAGTGATCAAATATGAGTTCAAAACAGCCTAGATAGAACACTTAAAGTGCAGTTAAAAGCTTTAGTGTATTAATTAGATAGACAAATGATCTCAAAATTTCATATGTTTATAGTCAAATCGAGCATCAAGATCATCAATTCTAATGTCATTAAGGTACTCAAATATTGAAAAAGATGTTTGTAAAAACTGGACTAGACATCAAATCGTCAGAAGGAGCGTTTTAAGGTTCATTAATTCAACCAAGGTCAAAATGGGGTTGAACCAAATGATGTAATAAATAAATAAATGTAGTTAATAGACCTAAATGAGATAATAATAATGTAATAACATAAATACAAAAAAAAAATTAATAAAGAAAATATAATCATGTATTACAATAAGAAATTCTTCATGAATATTGCTGCGGGCTAGAAAATTCGCGGCGGTAGAGTAATGGATTATCGGCGTAGTGTTGCACGAGAAATCAACACACACAGATAAAAGAAGCGAAGTAAGTAAGAGGAGACCTCGACTTTTTACGTGGAAAACCCTTGAAGGGAGAAAAACCACGGAGTTTAGCCCAGTTGAAATAATTCACTGTAAATGATGAGTACACGGGTCTATCTTTTTCCTTAATTAAGGAAGATAGAATTACAAAGTTGTATAATTATAATCTGGCTGCAGTTCTTGGTGACAGTATGTAGTCAGAGTTCATTGTTAATTGTTGTGGAGGTAGTAGTCCGTCATAAGTGTTGTGGATGGGTGCTAAATAAGTACCAAAGAAATTGTAGTAAGCAGTTACGGGAGCTGTGGACCACATAGTACGTAGTGCCGAGTATGAATGATGGTCGTAGACCGCTGGGCAGGAGTCGGGGGCCGCACGAGCTGTGAGCCATGAGGGCCGGACTCGGGAGTTGCATGAGCTGATGATCACATAGGTCGTTTGGGAGAGTATGAATGACGTCTGTAGGATGCGGGGGTCAGAGTCGGGAGCTACACAAGCTATGAACCAGGTAGGTCGCAGGGGCGAGCATGAATGACGTCTGTAGACCGCGTGGGCTAGAGTCGGGAGTTGCATGAGCTATGAACCAGGTAGGTCATAGGGGCGAGTATGAATGATGTCGAGCTAGAGTCGAGAGCCGCTCGAGCTATGAACCACTCAGGTCGTTTTTGACACATGGACCGTAATGATGAGCTTATGTCCCACGACGATGACTGACGACGTCTGGTTGGTGGTGATCGACGGTGATGGTCGACAGTGAATGACGACGATCAACGAGTGTCGACGAAGGCTGGTGGTGGTCGATGCCGGTCGGGATGGTGTTGAACTTCACCTCCTTCTCAGAGCTTTTCAGTTCTCTCTGAAGCTTCAAGTCTCTCCTCTCATGTAAGGGGTGAGACTCTATTTATAGTGTTTTGGGTGTCATTAATGCATGAATATTAATCATTATAAAGTTTTTATGAATGTTGAACATCCCTTGCTCAAAATATTATCTCGAGATTCATGTCATACTCCGAGATTTGTGCTATGTTCCAAGATTCATGTTAGATAATGAAAATTTATTAGTGGCGTATCAATATGTATTAATTTTTTATATAAAATTTATATAAAATTCAATTCAATCCAAATTTAAATTAAACATAATTTTTATTTTATCCATTTATTGCAATAAAACTCAATTCAATCCAAATTTAGATTAAAATGAATTTTTAATTCATTCATTCATTGCAATCAAATTCTTTATTTTCAAATTCAAATTAAATTATCAATTTTACTTAATTAATTCCAATTCAGTTGTACTAAATAAGAAGATTACTTGTAGGGCAGTCGAGTCTAAGGATTTTACATGTAAAATACCTAAAATATCATGTAACACTTATATTAAAACAGTTGCAAATCTATAACTTCATATATTATCCCCCCTCATTTATAAGTGATCATTTGATGCGAAATTATTAATCAACAATTCAAATTAATATTCATGATGATACATTTCACATTTTTATCTCCCTTTGTCTCACTCTCACCTTTCAAATAATTTACGGACAAATGTTAATCAACAATTCAAATTAATATTCAGGTACATTTCACATTTTTATCTCCCTTTTATCTCACTCTCACCTTTCAAATAATTTACGGACAAATTTGAATTCTATATATACATTTATAAGCAAAAATATATCTGCACTTACTAGGCTGGTTTACTTGACATGTGATTAAGAAAAGCATGTCTTTTAAATGGCCGCTCTTGGTTTTGGAAGCACTACTTCGATCCATAAGGTTTAGGGCATGGAAAAATAACTCCCGTAATTCTGAGGCGTCAACTTAGGTGAGCCTTGGCACAAACTCTTCCGTCGTTTCCTCTCTCAACCGCCCAAGTTTTCCGTCGAGGATCTCTATTCCTCTTACCCCAAATTGCCGGAGCTTGCATCAGGTCAAGTCTCGGACTTAGGCGAGCCTCGGCACAGCTCTTCCGTCGTTTCCTCTCTCAACCGCACAAGTTTTCCGTCGAGGTTCTCTATTCCTCTTATCCCAAATTGCCGGAGCTTGCATCAGGTCAAGTCTCGTTTCTCAATATCTTCTCTTTCACAACTCTTTCTGTTCAAGTTTTTTTTTTCTTCTCCTATTGGGGCTTCTGTGATGTGAAAATATGGAATGCAGAGAACAAGTAGCGTTGATCTGCGATGAGGGAGAATTATGATTACTAGTGAAAACGTAACATTTTGTCAAACGTAACATCGCCTCATGCCTCTGCTGGTTCTTTCTAGTTGCTTTTGTAATTGGTGGATGTATGGATTTATGGAGATTTGATGTATCAGTCATATAGTTAGAGTTTGTAACCATCGCCTCATGCCTCTGCTGGTTCTTTCTAGTTGCCAGTAAGGTATTTTAGAAAGTAATGTGAATATTTATGATTGAGTTGATTGTATAAATCAAGCATCTGGCCTACGTGATTCATATCAAAAAACTATTAACAATTGTGGGGCATCTCTCAAAAGTTATATTGAAATCAATACATTTCAAGAGCTTATTTCATTTCATTGCTCAGCATATTGACTCGAGTGGATTGGCATTTGTGTGCTTGGCCTTTGTGTTATTTTGGACTCATGAAATTTACTTTAGTAATTAAGGTTTCCATAAGAATTAAAAATCTTTGATGCTTTTAAAACTATGATGCATCTTTCAGTTGTTATATAATCCTCATTAGTCTCATCCGAACTGCAAGGTGTCGATAATATGAATCCTATATTTTATTTATTCTTGTTGAGCATTGTTTGTAGTGTTAAACCTATTCTTCATAAATTGTTTAGAATGATTTTTATACATGTAATTTTAGGTTTAAATATTTTTTTTTCATTAATCATAACAATGTGTTGCCTGGAATCTTAAACATATTCCTCACAAACTATTTTAAATAATTTCTATCCATGTTACCTTAGCAATACTACTGTATTCCTTAATCTTTTGACACTATTTTTTTCTACTTGTCAATTGGGTCTTTTTTTTTATCGCTCATTATGCATGTTTGTGTGTTTGAAAAGAGTTTCACACTTTTATGACAAAGGCCAACAAATTTTAGCACCGATCCTTGAGAATCAATGGAAGCAGATAAAAAATATATCCCAAAGATAATCTTTAAATTGCATGCTTGGCCAAAGATGATTTATTTAGTTTTCAAGGATCTTGATTTCTCATTAACACGATCTCTCATGTTAGTTATATCACATATATCATAGCTAAGAATATTCTTGATAAAAATATTCAATTCACATTATTGATTCAATATAAATGATTCTAGGCAATAGTTCTATTAAGAGGGTGTTTAGAGTTTGTTCAAACAATAGTGCGGGTTAAAGAAACACAACCAATAGAATGCCAAATTATAAAAAAGAAGTTTGATTGCTTCCCTGAAAGAGTCTAAAAATGTTATTGGTTTGATTGGACTTAGCATAAAAAGGATGCTTGAAGGTGCATAAAAGTTACACTATCTTGGGAGGGACTCTCTAAAGGGGAATCAGGAAAGAGAGTTACAACATCTCAAATAACTTACACTATGAAATTCAATATCGAGGGCATGGGTCTTACACTCCATGAAGCGATTAGCCATTAAAGGGGGAAAAACTCTCATGAGCCATGACAAAGGGATAGAAGGAATTGACTCGAGAAAAGTAACTTATATTTCCTCAATAACGAACAGAAAAATTATTAGGCATAACTTATAATACATTGGAATGGTATGTATGCTTTGACCAGACAAGAGAGTTAGACACGCATTCCAATTGAGGGTGAGTGCTCCCTAAGTCTAATTTAATTAATGGTCACCCCATAGTAAGATGTATGAAAAGATTTACTACTCAATTATGGGAGATCGGTAATACTGACGTCAGGCTTTATATCTTTTGGATAGAGTGCTTTGAAAATTTACCTGCACAACATTTAAAGACACGTTTAGGTTTTTATATAGTGCAAGATTAGTTGACCGATACGAGAAAATGAGTCTTATGATCTTGCTTTATAGGCAAGGCATTCTAATTTGCATATGGAGGCGTTCATGCAAATGATGATTGTAATATTAGCCTAATCTATATGGAGACAAGTCTTTGGCTTGCCTCATGATCATGCGTCGACATGCATTTGTTGTCTGATATGGTGTTGATAACTCAAGGCACATTGCCTATGCGATGATCTCAAATCTGACACAGCCTATGTAATTTTCCTAAGTCACAAAAATTAGATTTAAGATTGTGTAAATAGAATGGTTAAGTGACCAAAGGTTGGAGACAGCAGGTCATATGACTCATGATGACATAGAAGAAGTATTGGAAATTTTGAAGGTTGCATTCTCAAAATTCCACTATTTTTAACTAACATCATTTGCTAATTTTCACTATTTAGATATAATTTTATGGTCTAAGAAACATAGGAATTCAAAAATATTTTTAGTTTCTGAAATATCTGTGAAAGATTGTGTTTGATCGAGTTTTGATTAGAATTAACAAACTGTGTATCACGTGAGCTTTCAAAAAAAAGAAAAAAAAAAGGAGGCTTCAATGATTATATGCGCATCTAAGTGATTTAAAATTATCACCAAGTTTCTTGTGCGCATAGATTTTAGTTAATTTTACTTTGCCATTTGAGAATTACTCACAGAATATATCCAACACTTAGCATTTAAGCGCACTCTCTCTTTACTTATATGGAGGAGTTCAACCATCTAAAATGTCGTTGTCTAGATAATTCCTATATGTGTCCAATTATCTAACAACTACAATCTAGATCCAAAATATCATGCATATAATTTATTTCTGGAAACCTTGCCCTTTTGTAGCTGGCATGCTCAAGTTGGAGGTATGAAAATGGCAATACAAAGGCTAAAAAACGTTATGAAGATTTAAGTTGGAATTACAATATTCTTATGGGTTATTTTTCTTTTAATCAAATGGTATTTACTTTAACTATTTCTTTTTGTTTGTCATGGATTTTCTTACTTTGACAGATGAATTAGTACATGCGTCACCAGCATAAGGACAAAAATTTGTTGCATAATTAACAAAAAAATTGCTGTTAGATCTTGTAAATTAGAGTAAAGTTTTCTTTTGCAAAACATATGAAATTCTTATAGGGGCTTCTTTGGTGGAAGAATTGCATATTATTATTTTATGATGCTTCGATGATTATAAATTAGTTAGATAATCGTTTGGGCTCGCTCTGCGACGGACCATTTCCCTAGAAACTAATAGAAACTTGACAATTTTAAATAACTGGGATTCATTTTCTTGGCCTGCAACATGATTAGGAACTACATATTTGGTATCAAGATTTCCATCTGAGTGGTTTGGTTTTAAAAGACTTCTTCAACAGTGGGCGTTATTGATGATTTTGCATTGACATAATAGCCAGAGTTCCATTACAAACTTCTGGAAAATTTGAATTTGAGATATTAGCCTGACTTTGCATTGTTATCCCTCTTGCATGCTCATGAATTTGTTTCTGTAGATTTGGATCAATCATTTCTTTTGTTAGGTTTGTTAATGGGTAGGGTTCTTACCCAATCTCATTTGAAATTCATCCAAAGTACCAACCAATACCAAATGTTTATAATCCAATGTTGGCCTAAGAAACTGCAATGGAGCTGTAATCTATGGTACACCAGCTCTCATTTTCAGTGAATCAAAGATTTCTGAGCTAGCTATTTCCTTCTCCCTCTTAATGGCGAGCAAGTTCTTGATGGAACATCCTAGCTTTGAGGTTATTAATAGACTCGAGTCATGACATTTGTTTTGAGTTGGAGGATGTTATATAGATCTTCTTGAGTTTAGTCTTATTATTATTAGACTATCAGCTGAAATAGACTAAAATTCACCATCTGTCGTGGTGGATGCAGTTCTACCTTCTTCAAATCAGGCACACACTGATGAAGAAATATTATTTCTTGCAGCTGATGACAAAATGTTTAAATTGCACTTCCTTTACTTGCAGATTACAATAACTTCAGAGCTCCACTCTCTTCATAGGCTTGTGGTACTATGGCCTCTGTAATTTTTTCAGCACCAATGATTACAAGGCATGCATTCATCAAAACTCAACTTAATAATCTTAATTTTTTGAAAATCCCCAAACAAAGATATCTTTCCACCTCACCTTGCTCTCAACACAAAACCTGGCCATTGCTATGCACAAAACTATTCCCTTGGGAAACTTCAACTCCCTATTCTTCCACCGATGATGAGCGAAACATTATCAAAGGCGGTAACATCGTCGAACCCATAGATGCTGAACAATCAACTGAACTTCCACTGCTCCAGAGTAAACAAGACATCATAGACATGACCGAACAATGGTATTTACAGCAGCCGCATCCACCCAAATGGCCAATGTGGCTCATGGGTCCTTCCATTCTCTTAGCAACAGGAATGTTACCGACCCTTTGGCTGCCTCTATCATCCGTCTTCCTCAGTCCAAACATAGCCGGACTTCTCTCTTTACTCGGCCTAGACTGCATTTTCAACATTGGTGCAACCTTGTTCCTTCTCATGGCCGATGCCTGCGCTCGCCCAAGGCAAAGTTCCTCACCCCTCAAAATCCAAGTTCCTCTTCCTTATAAACTGTGGAATATGGGGGCAAATCTGCTTGGTTTTTGCGCACCGATACTGTTGATTTTTGCCTCGCACAGAGGTTCGCTCGTGCCGGAGCTTTCATTCATCTCCTTTGCTGTGCTGCTCGTACCCTACCTTCTGCTTCTATCCGTGCAGATGCTGACAGAAATGCTAACTTGGCACTGGAAATCTCCAGTTTGGTTGGTGACGCCAATAGTGTATGAGGCTTACAGGATATTGCAGCTGATGAGGAGTCTAAGACTGGGAAGTGAGGTATGCGCTCCTGAATGGGCTATCGCTAGCATCAGGCTTCTGGTTTCATGGTGGGTTTTAATTCTGGGAATTCAGCTCATGAGAGTTGCTTGGTTTGCTGGTTTGAACTATGGAAGCCGCCTATCTGATGAGGCCACCGGCTGAGCAGATGATTCTTTGTCAGGGAAGATGCTGTTAATATCTAGTATGAAGCACAGTTATTAGGGAAATTTACATATATATATATATACACATAATTCGCATGCATTCATGCATTTACATATTTTATACTCAAAGTTTGATATTTACCCTTATACTACCTTGGTGTAATGAATTTAGGCATGAAAAAGTGTACTTTTCTTTTAAAAAAGATACATGATGATGGTAAAAAATTTGAGTGATATATATGTATAAACATGAATGTTAAAGTGTTAGATATGTAAATGAGCAAGAATTGTGTTGTACGTATGTAAATGCCCATGGTTATTATTATGTTTATATAAATGAAAATTTTGTTTTTTAATGTATGTATGTATGTTCAATTTGTACAATTAAAATTGTGCAGGTAAGAATTTTAAAAAGCAAAACATATATGAAATGTGATTTCTAGAAGAATATTCATGGCAATGGACTATGGTTCGTTTCTTGAGTCTGTTTATTAAAACTTATTTTTTAAAGCATAGTTTTCTCAGGTAAATAAAATATGAAATACATTTGCGTGCATAGCTATAGTGGCATATATTTATACATAAAATTATATATATTATAACTCCATCACAATAGGATTGATCTAATTTACTTGATGGAAACCAAACTGTCTCCAATATATTCCCCAATAAAACGAGCACCAACAATTTCCATATTGTTACTAATGGTAATGTGTTGGAAATGGAGCTCTTTCAAACAATATTTTTAGCTCCATCATTGATCATAAGAACAAATAAAAGGAGATTATGATCCAATTAGAAAGCCAACCTCTGTGTACAGATCTTCTTGCAAAGCTTCCTGCATACAAATACAGTTGATGAATGCTATGTCTTGTGAGTATATAAATAGATCAAACAAAGGACTAAGTGTAATTGTTAAAAAAGGAAGATTCCAAATTTCCTCATAAAAATACTAAAATCAGAAACAATGGAAGTTATATCAGAGAGATTTTAGCTAACAATTCATAACTCTGCACTCGGGATGATATTGCCAACGAAGCCATTTTCTCTTTTCTGCTTTTCTTAATAGTTCTATTTATGGCTTTACTTCCAATGCAAAGGACTTTCGTATTAGTCGTGCCTTCAACTTTTCTGATTATGCTGGCCTTTATCAGAGGATTATTTTACGATGATATTAAGCATACTCTCATCTCTATCGGCTCTTAACTATTCTTGATGGCTTTATTTTTTAAGTTTTTAAAAATTCATGAGACATAACTGATTTTTCTTGCATTGTTGTTAAATAGCAATGCAGAGGACTTTCGTATTAGTCGTGCCTTAGACATAACTGATTTTTCTTGCATTGTTGTTAAATATATTTCTTTAGAACATCTAAGTTGTTTGACGACGGTCAAACAATGTACTATCAGTCTCATCCCAAAAACACTCATACTCAATCTCTTAATGATTGTAAACATATATCTCTTTATAATACTATTTACAAGATAATTTCTAAACTTCTTGCAAAAGTGCACAATCACTTACTTTCAAGTATTATTTATCCTGCTCAAACTGAATTTATTGTTGGTTGTTATATTGCTTAATATAACTTTAATTCAACTTGCTTTATAAAGAAATTTTGTGCTAATATTGACCTGAAAAAAAAAAAAAGATTTGATAGGAGTTAATCATCAACTCTTTAATGGCCGAATGGAAAGTCAGGGGTTTCCTGCCACTTTCATTCACTGGAAAAGAAATTGCCTACCCAACAAGTCCACTTCTCTATTATTATTAGTAGTCATCTTTTGGTTTGCATAAATGTGCCCCCTCTTTCCATATCTCTTTGCTATTGTGATGTATAATTTCTCTCACAACATCAAAATTTGATTCAAAATGGCTCTTCTATGGGTAATTACAAGGTCTCTCACTTTATTTATGCTGATGACTCGTGCCCTTTGGGAGAACATACCTCAGCTCTATCAATTGTATGTCTTTGATACTTTACACTTTTAATAATGCCTATAATTTGAGTGTGTTAATAATATCAAATTTGATATATGTTTAACTAAATCGGTTGATCCTCTTATTCAACAGCAAATCGGCTCGCCAGCCGTTCTTCTTCCCCGATCTTTTTCCTCGACCAGGTTCTTCTTCCCCGCGTTCTTCTTCCTCTCTCTTCTTCCTCGACCAGGACTGCAGCTTCCCCGCGTTCTTCTTCCCCGCTCTTCTTCCTCGACCAACACAGCAGCCCGTTCTTTTTTGCCCGCTCTTCTCCCCTTATTTCGTTCTTCTTCCTCGACCAGGAACCGATTCCCGTGCCTCGCCATCTCGCCTCGCCTGGTGTCGCCGCATCTGTTCTTCTTCCTCGATCAGGACCAACAAGGCAGGTAATCCCATCTTCTTTGCAGTTGTTCGGCATATGTAGCTCAAGTTAATTGAAGAAATAGGAATTCTTTGAAGTTTCTCTTGTGTTTACTATTGATGGCAGATTTTAGAAATATTTTATACACTGACACGGGAAACGTATTTGTGATGATTCTTAGGTTGCATTTCAGTAGGTGTAAAATTTATGTCTTAAACTACTCGATTAAATGAATTTTGAGAAAGCTTATTTTCTATTACATTCATTCCTTTTATGTTTTGCTTTAGGAGTTAGGCTTATTATATGTGAAGTATTATTTAATAACCGCGTATTCCCTAAATATCTAACATCTAAACTTTACTTTATTCTACTTTCTAATTGTATTCTACTTTCTAATTCTTTCTAATTGATTTTACTGTTGTGTTTCATGACTTTGTCTTGCTATAGTAATAACATTGATAGTAAGCCTAAAATGGTTGTTACACCACATTGTGGGAAAAAGATGCGAAAATTATATGTTGCGATTTTTGTCTTAAAGAGATTGAACGTGGAAATAGGCCAACAACCCATTTCAATAAAGAGGGGTGACAAAATATTATAAAAAATTTCAAGGAATGTACAGACAGAGAATATGACAAGTTGTAAATGAAGAACAAGTGAGACTAAATGAAGAAAGAATGAAAATTTTGGAAGGAATTGAAAAGGGGTTCTACCGGCATTGGTTGGGATCTAGTGAAGCGAACAATTGATGCATCTGAGAAATGGTGGGCTGAAAAACTTGCATTGAGCTTTGTTTGTAAACTTCTTCATTTTGTTACATCATATTTTATTCTAATTTGGTGTTTATCAATTTCTGTATAGGTTGTTCCTGCTGCAAAGAAGTTTAAACTTTCAGGAATTGAGCCTGAATTTGAGGAGAAACTCGACCGCATGTTTGGGGGAGTGGTTGCAACGGGAAACTATGCATATAGTCCAAGTGAGACAGAGTTCGCTGGCAATGCCGTGAATTTGGGAACCCCTGGAGGTTCAGTTGATTTCATTGACGTCCCCAGCCCAGATCAGAACGAATATGAAACTATTTCGCGTTTCAAACGTCCTAGGGTTGTTGATAAAAGAAAATCTGATGCTTTTTCCCTCAGAAACGAGCTATCTGAGACGGTTTCTTGTTTCAAAGTAGAATGTCAGGCTTCTCGTTCAAGCACTATCACGAATGCACTTGAAATTCTAAGTGTTACTGCCAAAATTTATGCAGATGAAGAGTTGTATCTGTTCGCAGTAGAATTGCTCGAGGACCCGGTCCGTAGGGATTTCTTTGTGCAGATGTTTGCCGCCCGCAGAGTGGCATATATTCAGCGTTTTTATAATCGTTTAAACAACTGATATTTTTTATATTTTTCATCACTAGAATATTTACACTGCATTATCTATTTTTTTCTTTCTAGAGTTGTGCTTGTGAACTCTGTTGTACCTTCTTAATTATTTGCAAACATTTCTTTTTTTTTTATTGTCGCAAACTCTCATGTAAATGATAATTGTTTAGGAGAAACATTTAGGGATACCCATCACTATGAATGCAAATAGAAGAAGACGGATGGAGACCCACATGGATACACGCAAAAGAAAACAGAGAGGGATGTTTCTGACGGCAATATGCTTGATATACGAGTACTATAACGGGCACATTGATCGGTCGTCATGCATGACATCTTCTTATATTGGCAATATTTATCGATCTTCTGGACTTACTCGTAGGATCTCACGGTCTTTATAGATTTTCGAGGACCAATCCACGTGAGGTGCTCGCAATAACACTGTTCATATTATCCCAAAATGAGTCTATGCGAGGAGCAATGGAGCGATTTCAACACTCATCAGAAACAATAAGCAGGTATTTCTTAATCGGATTGAATGCACTTGTTAGCATGTCCTCTCATGTCATCAGACCCTCAGATTATAAGTTTGAGCAGAAACCTGCTGAGGTAGCACGTGATGCACGATATGTGCCCTTTTTTCAAGGTATTCTCTCGGATACATTATAGTTAACTTTATAAGGGTAAGCAATGATATGTCAAACCTAACATTTACTCAATAGGACTGCATTGATGCGATTGATGAAACACATGTTGACGCACGTATCCCAAATAGTGATAAGTTGACATTTATCAGTCGTTGTGGTAGCCCTACCCAAAATATCATGGCCGTCTGCCACCTTAACATATGTTTCACTTTTGTTATGGTTGGCTGGGAGGGCAGCGCACATGACAGTCGAGTTAAATCTATTCATTATCGTGCTAGTTTTGTAAGTAGCAATGTTTAAGTGTAGTCCTTACTTTATGCTGATGGGCAAGATGGTATGTATGTAAATGTTCCTAATATTAAGTAGTATGGTGGCATATACTTTGTAAAAATTAAAGTTTAGGTGTTAGATATGTGGGTACATAAGAACTAAGTGGTATGCATGTAAATCTTCCTAAAATTTAACGATCTCCTAAGTGGAGGTCATGATTGTCGAGTTCAAAGAATTTCTGAATCCATGATTTGGAAAGTTTTTGGAAAGGTTTTCCAATTGGGTCCTTTATGTGGATTGATGCTTTCCTTTTATCAGCTGCTGTATTTTTTCTCGAAGCAGACAAACCATCAGAGTTGATACAAGGGTGTAAGCTCTGCAGATTTAATACCTTGCCTTTTTCTCTTGCATTGGTTTTCTTTATCAACATGTATTTGAGTTTAACTTCCTATTCCATGAGGCAGTTGTAGGGAGTTGTTTATTGGATTTGCTGCTTGAGATATTAAAATGAATCAGAGCTTTTGATCTTTATATTAAAATAATACCATCTGATCTTGCGTAATTGATATTTCCTATGGTTAAATCTATTCATTACATGTGCTTTTAAATCAGATGTTGTATTATTTCCTTTTATCAGATGCTGTATTTTTTCTCGAAGCAGACAAACCATCAGAGTTGACACAATGGTGTAAGCTCTGCAGATTTAATACCTTGCCATTTTGAATGAAAGTGTATTTATAATCAGGGTGTTATTAAATCAACCTATTTTAAAATATCCCTATGCAGGAATAATTTCATAACACTTCAATGAAAAAGGGTGCTTGCTTTGTAATTATCAATGTTTGTAGTGCTATATTTGTAACTTGCCCGAGCTGTACTCAATTATTTTTGTTATATGAGAGCTAAAACAGAAGCATTTACATACATACCACTGCATTTACATACATACCACTGTCAATGCATGCCATTGGAGTTAAGCTTTTTGGTTAATTCTATTGTACTTCTACTTTGTAGTTGAACGAATTTTAAATTTATGGTTGAATAAATTTTAAAAAAACTGAAGCGAGGAGCATATAAATGAATGTGTTTATGAATCCGAACTAAATCAATCGAGTATGTGTTAGATATGTAAATACTTCAGAATTGAGTGGCATGTATGTAAATGTTAGATTGAGTAATTGTCACAATTAAGATGGCCTTTAACTGTCATCTATATATCTGTTGTTTTTTTGCGCATTCTATTTATTTTCATGCCGGTGGAGTTGGTGAAATCTGAATACATTCAGATGTCGTTATCTCATTCTATTTATTTTGTTCATTCTATTTATTTTCATACTCTGTTAAAATATTGCATTAAATATTGATATCTGGATATATACGCAATGTATTTTGAGCATTCTAGATATATACGTAGTATAACAGCAATAAGAAAAGCTTTTTTTGTTTGCGATGAGCTTTAACAAGCTGGGCTCAACAATTTGTGTTAAAAGCTGGTCATATTTTACTTTGGATGTTGTGAAGGTTTTTATCTTTAGGTATCCTTAAGATGAAGCCCATCACTTTGAAGTTTCACTAATTTATAACATAATAAATTTTGCTTCTGGTGTTCCAAAAATTTCACTGTTACAGTCCTCTTATAAACAGTTTTATCAAACAAGGGCAGAATAATAGTTTTTCCAGAAACAACTGTTTTGCAGCTGTTTTCACACAGCTGCATCAAACAGACAGCCAGCTTCCACGAAGCTGGTTGCCTCATACTGCCACTTTTCTGGGGCGGCGCAGCTGCAGCTGAAAAGCTGGGCAGCTACAGCTGCGCCAAACAGAGCTTTGTGTTGTAAATTGCAACAAGCTCCTTGATGTACTGCATTATTGGTTGTGTGGTTGGAAATAAAAATTCTTCTCATTTGCTGGAAGTTTACACCTAAGTTTTAGATCTTCAACCATTTCTAAAGGCTTGATGAATAAAATTTCCTCTATTTTTAATAATTTTTTTCATTACAATAGAACCAATATGAAAATGCACTCTATAGCTTGGAATGCTTGCACTAAACTTAAGTATTATGGTGGTTTAGGCCTTCCTAATCTTGACACCATTAATCTTAAGACCAAATGTAAGACCATTGCATAACGCTTATTCTTGATACCCCCATTGAGGATAATCATCATTTTTGTCTTTGGAAGGGTTAAATTTCTAAGCCCATAAGCAAGTTCATAATTTTGCTTATGATACTTATCATTTGGTGGATTGGAGCCAGTATATTTGGTTCAAGAGTTATTCTATCAAATTTGTTATAATAGTTTGAAAAATTGCATCACCAGGATGTAGGGTGTCGAATTAGGCTCATGGGTTTAGTTTGGGTCTGCTTCGAAATTGACCCGACCCAAAACCGTTTGACACAAACCAATCATGAATATTAAATGGGTCAAAAAGCCCAACCGAACCCAACCTGCTTAACTCGTTGACCTGCATAACTCTTTAACGTAAGACATGCATCTATTCAGGTTAAATTTGGGTTGATTTCAAGTCAATATCGGGTCATTTTTTGGTAGATTAAGTCAATTTCGGGTTTGTGGATCAATTTCAGGTCAATTTTGGGTTGGCAAAGCAACCAACTTGACCCGAAAATATAAACGAGTTAAGATTCCCAACCCGAACCTGACTCAAAAAATTAAATGGGTTGGGATTCTTAACCCAAACCCAATCCAACCCAAAAATTTATTTGGTTCATCCCAAATTTTTCGGTTCTGGTTCAAATCGAGTTGGCATGTCAAGTCAATTTTTGATGCCTCTACTAGGTTGAAAAGCAAAGACATTCTCATCATTAAAGGGATTCTTGTTAATTGTGAATGTCTTCAACCACACTTGTTTGGAGTCTTACTCACCTCATTTTTAAATATACTCTCTCATACCTTGAGAGATGTATTTCTAGGAGGAACTTTTTTCTTGTTGAAGGAAAAGTTTTTCAAGCCCTCATAATTCTAATACTTCATCTTCTAAACCTCTCTGAAAATTTTACATGCTGGTCGTGCTCATTACTTTCCATTTTATTTGGATGGAAAGGAATTACATGATCTTCATAAATTCTATTATTTCTCTCAACCTGCTCACTCAGAATATTCACTGGACTATTAAACAGAAAAGCAGAAAATGAAAATTTAAGCCTAGAATAACGATCAAATTAAGGAACTATATAAGCTTTGATTCTCCCTCTTCTTTTAATTTGTTTTGTTTCCTTTGTTGGGCACAGGTGGAACATAACTTACATTCTATTTCTTTTTCTTTTCGTTATCTTCTACCATTTTGTGATGATGATATTCTTTTTTACGTGCTATGATTTTATCCTATATTCTCAATGAAAGCTCAACTAACTACTTGGACTCTCCCCCATTGCTTGCTGCCCAATGTTGGATGCTCAAATTTTTCGCATTCTATTTCTTTTTCTTTTCGTTATCTTTTACCATTTGGTGATGATGATATTCCTTTTTACGTGCTATGATGTTATCCTATATTCTCAATGAAAGCTCAACTAACTAATTGGACTCTCCCCCTTGCTTGCTGCCCAATGTTGGATGCTCAAATTTTTCTGATGTGGTATTTCTGTTTAGCTGTGTAAATCTGCTTTGGTTTTACTCCATACTTTTGAACAGATACACGTTGATCTTTGTTAGTTTCTAGAACCCTTGGCATTTTTGTGCTTGGCTGCTCCTTACTTCCGAAAAGATTCAACTTGATTTTTGCTCTTTTTTCGAATTCCTGGCATTTTTCAGCTTTTATTTCCATTGGATGTTGTTGCTCTCTCTCTTTAACAAAAAAAAAAAAACACTCACACTGTCTTGACTGGTTTTTGGTACGTATGGGATTGTTCTGACATCACTTCTTTAGCTTCTATTATGTTCTATATATCATCTTTTGTTGCCCTCAGATACTAATCTGCTTTCCTTCAATTGGCCATACATGCTTGTGGTGACTTGCTAATTATCTGGATAAATCCTGGAGGGAGCCTGTTGAGTTGTTTTTGAGTTATTCTTAGCTCTTATTTAAAGATATTTTTCACTTACTAGTTTTTCTATCTTTTACATTTATTTTACAGGTCTTATTATATAATTCTTTTTTTTTTTATTACACA